CTCTGTTACGTCATATGCTTCATTGATCTGATTGGTTTATTTGGCCCGTCTATCACCAACATAGGCCAATCAGCTAACCAGTATTTTCACCCCTTCCCAAAATTACTTCAATGGAAGGTTTCCAGATGGATATGCGGAGCAAATCCATCTGGCGGAGTCAGGTTAACAACTAACGCCTTAACAGAATTTATAAAATACTAATAATATCTGCTCTGAGTTTCTCACATTTATGGAATTTCATGCAAATCTCTAAAACAGTGGTGTCCTAAGTTCTTCTGTCTGCCATGTTGAAATTGCATTTCAAGAAAGAAAAACATCAACAGCTGAAGCTAAGGTTAAGCTGAGCCACAAGGAACATTTAACTAGCAGCTTCGTAGAACATTAGTAGAGTAGAAAGTACAATATTTGACTTTCATATTTATTTCACAGTATAAAATGATTCAAATAAAGTAAAGATGCCAAAAAAAAAGGTACTAAAGTTTAGTAATCAAGTAAATGTGCATTGTTACATTCCACCACTGGATACAACAGATGTTTTTTTCAAAGAGACAAAGGTTATTCTGTTCAGTAACTGGTTAGATATCAGCAGTGCTGACCAGAAAACAAAAGACAAAGTTAAGCCCAGAAACAGAGTCTGCTTTTAGATTTCCACTGAAATAACATCTAGAGTGCCCATTAAATTATTAACAACATGTTAAAAGCAGGAAACCTTCACTGTAAGCTAAAAACAAACCATAAAATATAATCTGGAGTAATTTACTGAAAGAGACAGAACAGCTTGTCTGATTTCAGAGCGTACCAACCTTTCTCATGATCTTTCTTCCGTAGAACATCACCTTGTCCCTCTTTCTGAAGCGATAGTGAGGACCGGCCTCTTCCTCTGAAACAGACAGACGCTCTTTGTGAGTCCAAGCAGTTCCTCATGTTCTGCTACTTGATCTGCATTGGCCTGGTTCTTGTCTGCAAAACCCAAACTACACATGGAGGAGCAGTGTTGCTCTTGTTCACAGGTTTAGTGCCTTATAAGAGGAAACGTGATATTTCTGTGTGATTGGTTGATATTCAGAAACTTTTTATTATCGCAGTGACTAAGCTTGTTTCTAAATCCCTACAGGAGAGAGGTCCAAACATAATCATCATCATCATCTTCTTTTGGTTATGGCTCTACAGGGCCACCAGGAACCTTGACTGTGATCCTTAGCTGATTTATACTCACTGTACAACTGTATTTTTTTTATCACCTCTCATCAAACTGGATCGTTCAACTTTAAGTACTTAAACTCTTTAACTTTAATATAATTAAAACAGTTTTAAAAAACTTTAATATACCGGTACTTAAAAAAAGTAACTTATTTGAAAAAATGTTTATCAACTGCTGACAAAGGAAAACTAAAAAAGGAGTTTATAGCAAAAGCTAAAGAGAAAATGGTTCCCATCATAAAAACAAGCCATTAATAAACAGTAAACTGCTGCTGCTTTAAGAATATAGAATAAATGGGACCATTGCTCCAAAAGACCCCAGAACAGAGCTATTATACACAAAACCTGTTGGATTATATGCTGGGTTTAAGCTGATAGGAGACAAACAACAAGCAGTTCAAAAGTTTGTTTACATTAGATGCGGCTCTTAAACGTCCTGCAACTTTTAAATACAGCTCTGGTTCATCACAACGGAATCTAATTGTTTCATCCTAAGCTGAACCCTGGAGAGTTCGACTACATATGCTCAGCAGACAACAATATCTCATACAGTGTTATCAAATATGAGTTTTGTTGTTAAATTATTTTTTGTGGTTAAGAATTTTTTTTTTATGTATTGGCTTGTTTAGACTTTGTTTATAAAGTATTTAACCCAAACATTAGTTGTTAAGCAATACAGTTTATGGATTTTTCAACCAATTTTTCAACCATTTTTCAACTTTTTATTAAAAAGTTCTACTGGATTCACTTTGTATTAGATTTTTTCCTGCTTCACAAAGGTAGGCAGCAGCTTGACAAAGCCATGATGGCAATTATTTTACATTATTATGGTATCGGTATCGGCCGATACTGCACAGCCAGGTATC